ACCTATACACATCTCAACAAACAGTGGAGCTTGAGCAATGTAGCTTACCTATACACATCTCAACAAACAGTGGAGCTTGAGCAATGTAGCTTACCTATACACATCTCAACAAACTTTTAAGAAATATTTTTTTTTTCAGTTTCTTCAACATTTTGTTATTTTAATCGATTTACATATTTTTCAACCAAATAAATAAGTTAATTACAAACTTGATACTAATCGCTAAGTGACAGTTATTTATGAATTATTAGCACCTCCTAAACGCGAAGTATAAGCAGCATATTTATTTGGTAAAATTATTTCTAATTACTCAAAGGATTAGAATTCTAGGAAAGCAGACATATATTTTGGTCGTTCTTAATTGTTAACTCGTGGAAATAAATTCGAAGAACTTCAGCTGACTTACAAAACAAGATACTTCTTTAGCTTGGAGATTTATCCTACCCCCCACCCACCCTAAAGTGGCTCAGCGGCAAGCCTTCTGGCTTACGACGCTAAAAACCTGGTTTCGATACCCGTGATGAGCAGTGCACAAGTAGCCCATTGTCTAGTTTTGCGTTAAACAAGAACAAAACAAAACTGACTTGGAGACCTACCGAATCAGTAAAAGGTCCACACACGTTTACTGGCAGTTGCTCCACAATACATCTTACAAATGCTGACTTCTGCAAAATACGTAACCAACCACAAAAGTCATTAATGTTACCTAAGTCTCATGTCGCCAGAGGTCGTTGATTTATGCATCAAAGAATTTCACTGGCTGTATTCATGTTTTACGTACATACCGGAAGCTGTTTTAACTGTGACAAAGTATAACAGTATAAAAATATTTACGTCGATACACTTCACAGCAAAACAACAAAATCAACAGAAATGAGAAAAAAAAAAAGTAGCGAAATTCAAATATTTTTTCCAAACTTGTTTTTGTTTATATAAAACGTTATATAATGGTGAAAATCCAAAAGTTGAATAATGAAGAATTTAAGGCTTTTTTTTATATACTTTCAAGATATATTTGAATATGATTACTATATAATAACGTTAGTTTGTGTATTCCCGGTATAAGCGACAAGAAAACAGTTTCTTTGTTGGTTTGAAAAAAAAAATCAATGTGTCCGTTGTTCGAAACTAAGTAATAAATTTCCATTTCATTTTGAAATGTTCCTAGAGCTACGCATACCTTTGATCTTACCGAGATAACTCTACCTATAGATATAAATATACATTCTAGCTCAATAAGCTTAAAGCCCAGAATGAACGTTCTAGATGTGTGTATTCATACCACAAAGTAGTTAAATACTTTCTACCTCATTGGATTTAAACCAAATTGCATCTAAATAATATGCTATTAACTATATTCATTTTAAAATGACGCATTAGGAAATTAACTACGTCATACTGTTAGATCTCATAAAGTGCAACATGATCAGAAAGGCGATTATTCTGTCAAAATAGCACCCGGTGGCTCAGCGGTAATTCTAGGGCTTATAGCGTTAGAAATTAGGTTTCAATACCTACTTGAGTAGAGCAGAGATAGCTCATTATGTAGCTCGGTACTTAACATACAGGGCCCTGCATGGCCAGGTGGTTAGGACGCTCGATCAGCAATCTGCGGGTCGCGAGTTCGCATCCCCGTCGCACCAAATATGCTCGCCCTTTCAGCCATGGGGCGTTATAACGTTACGGTCAATCCCACTATTCGTTGGTAAAAGAATAGCCCAAGAGTTAGCTGTGGGTGATGATGACTAGCTGCCTTCCCTCTAGTCTTACACTGCTAAATTAGGCTAGCGCAGATAGCCCTCGTGTAGCTTTGCGCGAAATTCAGAACCAAACTTAACATACAAACTATCAATATATATATATATATTTCTGTAATTAAAGTCCTAAAGTCCAGGCTGACAAATACAAGACCATGTGTAAAATGTTTCTTTAGTACAAATAACGCTGACATTTGTAAAACAAAAGCACGATTTGATAAAACGTGGAGATGAAATCAGTAGTGCTTTTTAAAAATCACATCCCATTTTAGCTGTTTTAGTTTGACTAAAATCATGTCTTCAAGTTAACATGAAAAAGTTAAAATACACTTCGTCTATGAAATTGACATGAATTACTTTACAGACATCGATAAATTTATAAATTTAAACAGTTAGGAGATTGTGTTTTTACTCGTTAGGTGAGAGTATCTTGCTTGAAAACCTACAACATTTGTCAAACAAGCTGCCAATTATACTGATGTCCTTTACGTAATACCTAATAACTTCTTAGACTATATTTAAAGTATATATTTAACTTTTCTGATTGCCTTCATAACGCTTTACTGAACGTTATGTGCACTGAAGAAATGTATAACATCCAGGTTCGTATTTTAGAAAATTCGAGATTTGGCCCTGCAGTGGACACAGCGCAGATGGTCCATTGTACACTACACCTTTGTGCCAAAGCAAACAATAAATGCATATATGTGGAGTGTGTTAACTCCTGCATGCATCAGTTGCAGTATCAGTGAAGAGTTAAACGTATAGTTATTTTTTTCCGTGAAATGTATTTTGGATTAAAAAATTGAAGCTTTTCAAAATATAATTTTTTCTTGATTTAAGAAAATCAAAATTTTTACGATATTCAATTTAGTGTAATCTATTTTTGAGCTTTATTACTTTTTGTAAGGGGGATTCAAAATTTAATTTAAATAAGTCATTTACGAAATCGTATTTATCACTAATACAGGTCTATAGTTAACGTTCAAAATTGGATTTCGATACTCGCGTTGGACAGAGAACAGATAGTCAATTGTGTGTGTGTGTTTTTTTTTCTTCTTCTTAACAACAACAAACAAATAAACATTAATATTGCTTTCACAGTTGTGGTTTTTTCTTGGCTCTAAATAAAATAATTCTGCATGAAAATTAAGATTCGCAAAATTATATTTGCTAATCTGTCAAAATATTATGTATTTGAGATCCTAAGACCCATAATCTCACGA